TAAAATATATAAAAATTAACAATCTAATTGTTAATTTTTATATATTGTATCATGTGACAATTAGCATCACATGATTACGATGCCAATCACTAATATTGAGCAAAGCATTATTAGTAAGTATTTTAGAAAGTGTAAAGCCCTTTGCATACTAATGATGCTAACAAGAAAGAATGCTATTACAAAAAAAACAAAAAAAAATCTTTGCTTAGACATTGAACAATGTACATGTCCACATTATATTATATGGGCATTGGTAACAATCTATAAATTTGAACATGGGCAAATACAAAAAGTATATTAATAGTATAATAATAATAGTAAAAATCACTCTCTAAGTAAAGTCTTTAGGGATACTGATTTATACTGATCTTTTTTCGCTAAAGATATATGAAGAGATAAAAAATACTTTAAGATAGTTTTAAAAAAATTTATTGCATAAAATCACAAATTGCCAATTGACAATGTAGTTTTTCATAGTAAGAGTTACTTTAAAATTTTTATTTATGTTGTATAACTCAGAAATCAAGCCAATCAAATCAAATGTCTGCCATGCTAGTATTCTTTATAATAATTATATGAAATTAAGTATGTGGTGACTTAGTAAAATAATAGAGTTGTTGTACCCCAATCTAGCTTAACTATAGTACCAAGTTCGAATTTCACTAGCGATGTTTTAAATAAAATACTTGTGCTATTGTAATGGATCTTTATTAAGTTGGGGCTTAGAATAACAAGTACTTGCATTAGAAAGTTATCACATTGAGACATTTATATAATGTTGGGTTATACAAGTATTTGTAACACTGAGAAACAAAAAAGTTCAAAACTAGCTTGGCAAGTCTCAAGTTGGAAGTAGTAGTGATCTTTGACAGTACTACATGAAGGCTAAATTCAGACTGGGGGTCTGAGATCAAAAAACTGAGTGACTAGATCCTATAGCAAAGGACACACTAGCTGAACTGCCAGGTTGTCGCACCAGAGAAAAAAGCATATACTCTGAAAGTATAAACCAAGAGAAGGGTATTCTTCAGACATCTAAAGCCTGGGCAGACCAACCTTTCCAGGTTGTTAGCTGGAAATAAGAGAGGAACTAATAAAGTTTTCGAGTAAAAAAACAGTTGAAATATAGATATCAGAGTTGTTGTGAATCTTGCAAAGGCAGAAGTACATAATAGGTGACTAATTAGGAAGGTTATGGTTTAAGATACAGATCAGATTATAGCAGCACTCCAAAAGTTGACTTGAGATATAAATTTGGTAATGGTAGCACAACATGTACTAATTAGAAAAAAATTACCAAACAAACAGGTGAATGTATATATAGAATATGCACCACTCTGTTGGGTTTACTACAAGGATAAATGTCTTCTGTTGTTGGCTAAAGTCTTAAGGTCTTATATAGTAAATTACTCTCCATATAGAGGTATATTAGAAGAAAATATATGATATTAGTTAAAGCTAGAGAGTTTAAATAGATAGCTTTTTAGTTAGGCTATAGATATGATATCTAGTGTAGAACCCCTAGCATAGTACTAATGCTTTGGATAAACTATTTAATTAGACAATCAAAAGTTGTATATGTAACTAGTTGTATTCTTATAATACTGATATAATATATAAAGCCAGTCTTTGGATATATGGCCTACCTGTTTAAACTAATAAAGTACCAGAGACCAAAGTAGTCACCTCAATATTAAAAAAAAAAATTATATAAAATTATATATATGTACTTAAAGATATATATACCTGTATTATGTGATCTATAAATTACTACTAAAATTCAAGATTAGATATAATATTACACAATCAAAAAAATTTAGATGTTCTATAGAATAGATAGGCAATATGAAAAATAAACTTCGCTACTAATTAGTAATTATTAATAAATATTTAGCAGAGTTGCAGAGTTTGCAGAGTCTGCTCACCTATTTTATAGAACATCCAAAATTCAAAACAAACATTTGTTTTGACAAAAATCGCTTATTTTGCAAGAAATTGCATATTAAACCACCTTCTATATATTAATAAAAAGTTTTTCTTAACCTAAACAATATTGGTATTACTAGTTTTGTATATAATCAAAATAATAGATACAAAAAAATTTAATGTACTCCATGGGTATAACTATATTAATTCTAATTATATAATATTTTTATATTCCCACCTATACTAAATATTAACCAAGAAATCTATATTTTTTATAATTTCTAGTCTTTTGGCATTATTCAATTATATAATATATATCAATATTAGTAAATTTTATGCTAATTAATGATATAATGATACTATTTTTATTGCTATACAGAATTAATAGATTTCAATAATCCAAACACTTAGTTATTAAGAGTAGCTTAAAAATTAATATGAACCAAAATTTAATATATTATATTAAACAGTTTATTTTGTTTTGTTAGATATAGCTTTCTAAACAATTTTTTTTTGGTTTGTTTTGTTTATACAATAAAAAGCATTTTTATTGTGTTTTTTTTTTTGTTAAACCTTTAAATTGTTAGGAGGAATTTAAATATCTGCAAATTTTGGTTTAATATGCTTATGCACTTAATAAGTAAAACACTGCCCCTTATACTAGTAGAATTTTACTTTCTTATATCTCCCATTTTACTTTAAGAAAATTAAGTTCAATGAATAATCCCTCAAGCATATTGTGCAGATATTATTGACTTTTAATAAGGTACTTTTACTAAAATTACGGAGTCAATCTCCAGCGACTAGATAGATGTGGCGTTAATACAAAATTAAAATGGAAAATTTTATATTAATAGATTTTTAAAATTGGCGCATTTTAAAATATTGTATTTTTTAAAAAAAATTTATTATACTGTAATTTATATTGGAATTCATTTAATTAATGACATTGACTAGAAATATATCCGAAAGTAACTTGATTTATTTTTTACGATTATAAAAATGGTTACCAATTCTATCGACTGTCAAACACGCGACAACCCATATTTTTAATAGGCTCATACATACTTACATACATACAATGCGAAATGTTAAAAGACTGCAGAACCTACAGAGAACGATGACAGCAATGAGATTTATTGATGATAAAATTGTACAGATGTTTATATGGAATATAATAAAAATCGGGAATTATGATCGAATAAAAAATTTTATTCATCACTGTATAAAGAAAGCAAGATATAATTGTACTGCGCGAAATACAACCGTGAAAATCTTTAAATCATTTAAAATTTTTCAGTAAAATCATTATTAATATGACAATGTTAATTTAACAATGGTATCTGTTGAACAGGAGGGAACGTTGTTGTTACACAACTGATTTTACACACGGTGTAAAACACATAAAAAAATGATTTTACAATACTTGATCGTACTTGATCAGTCAGCTAGTACATGTTATGATTATAATCCAACACCATTTTTTATTATTAAAAAAATGAGGTTGGATTATAATCGTAACATGTACTAGTTGACTGATCAAGTCCGATCGAGTATTGTAAAATCATTTTTTTATGTGTTTCACACCGTGTGTAAAATCAGTTGTGTAACAACAACGTTCCCTCCTGTTTATCTGTTGTTAGCATAAGATATTAGACTTAAGGGTTTTCTCCGCCACACCTCCTTTATATAAATGAATTCTTCTATATTCGGAGTTCAGCGACATATTGATAACTTTTATGATTCCTTTGTATTATTTTAACATCAATCAAATAATGACAAGTGATGCAACAAAGGAATGTCTAGGAAATTTGATGATTCAATATGAAGATATATAAATGACGAATTCTCAACAATAGTTATTAAAAAAAAAAGATTGTTAATAAGAAAGTCAAGTGGCTTGTTAATACCCTCACATTTTGTCTACGACAAGTTTATCAATTTTTTTTTTTTTTTTAAAAAAGCATCAAATAAAATATGACGCTTACACGGGCACAACGAGCACAACGCGATAAATCTAATATGAGGTGATTTAAAAGATAATTGATTATAAAAAAAAAAAAAAAAAAATTTGGAAAAATTTAAAAACCTTTAATTAACATTCCGATTTTTAATTGCATTTATGGAAATTTTTTATAAATAAATAAATTTATGACGGAATAATTTCCTGTTGGTGTAGATCAAGTTTATCTAAAGAGCCTAACTCCAAGTCAACAGGTATTAGTTCGAGTTCAACAGGCAAAGTAATTAATTCTGTTGAACCAATGAAGGTGGATCGACTTAGATATAAACAACGACGAACTAGGAGCGGAAGGAAAGTCGCAGATTATCATGAACCTACTTCTGATTCATCAGAAGACGAGTACTTTTTAAATAATAATAAAGACGTTAGCGATCGTACGCGAAGAAAGAAACTATCGAAAGGTGATCAACGGGTAAATAATAACTTTTTTACAAAGTAAATTTTTTAAATTCATAAATCTTTATTAATGTGTTAATTTCTCAGACGAGAATTCAAAATACATCAGAATATATCAACGAACAATTTCATGTATCAGAACATACGACTTCTTCAGGTGCTTATACACTTACAAACTTCTCATTTAATAATGGATTCTTTAAAATCATTGAAAGCCTAAAAAACATAAACTCAATTTTTGAAATGATCATCGTGTTACTTATTCAATACCACAGATGGTGAACAAGAGAGTTCACAAGAATTCGGATTTCCTATATTTACAAAAGAATTTCTAGCTTACGATAAAGGTATTATTATCAAGCTATTACGATATTGCGACGCGTACTTGTATAATTCTTGTATAACTTTATTTTTTTTAATCTTAGAACGTCGTTGCCGACAAAAAAAACTCGAACAAGAGAATAAATCCAATGATACATTTATTGAATCTCTTCGTATAAAAGTTCATACCCTTAGATCTGATGATGATAGAATTCTTCGGGAGAATCAAGAACTCGAAGCTTCAAATGCACAAAAAATTGAATCATTTGAAAAAATTAAGATGTCATTGATTCAATTGGAAAGAGAAATTGGTCCGACTGTACGATCTTCGGGCGTAAAATTAGATGATGCAGAAAATATGATTGCTTATATCAACGATTTTCGAAAACGAGTTGTTAGTGGATGTCTTCTACAACCTTGATTGCTTTGCAAACAAAAAAGCAAATATTTCAGATATTTCAATTTTAATGACCATTTTGTAATTTTAAATTTTTTTCGTGCATTATAACTGGTGGTGTAATAAAAAGATATAAAGATAATAAGAGAATAAAATACAATTTGTATTACATCACTTACTGTTCGGACAATTATTCTTTTCTTAGGATGCTAATTGGTTTTGAGGAATTTACTAGTTCACGGATATGTTGTTTTTGTTTTCATCTGAGAATTAGTTAAATTGTAATAATGTTTTTAACTAAGTTGCTTACAGTAAACTAAAAGTTATTATCACCTAGTTCTCTAGCTTTAAACATAAACATACATGAACGCTAGAATGATTATTTTAAGTTTATTTTAATATTTAACCTTAATATAAATTTTACTAATGCTGTAATGTCAAGAAAATTTCATATTTCGCGGGCTAAACTACCTTCTTTGTAAAAAAAAAATCACCATTTCTGGTACAGTTGTTTTTACTTACATACGATCGTATTAGCATAGGTAGTACAAAAAAATATATAAATTTGAAGACGTACGTACATATGTACGTGAATATTCTACAGGGGAGGATGGTTTAACCTGTGAAACGCAGAATCACAGTACTGTAACTTTACAAATTGCAAACCCTTGAGATCTAGTTCTCTGTAATATCAGTACTGTATTTGTCCAATTTAATATAATTTCTACATACAGTAGTTTTAAAGTTTTAACTACTAATAATAATAGTCTACTGCATATATACATCTTTTTTTTTTGGCTAAAAGTTTCTAATTTGAAGCAAATTATCGATTCATATGAAAATAATATTAGTAACTATATGAGTATCGCTTTCAATTATATTTTGTACCGGACACATTCTCTAATAAATTTAATAGATTGTAAATAAAATTGAAAGCCCGACGACAGGTTTTCCCTTGGCGACACTCATATATACCAGGGGATTTCAGAATTAACTTTTTAAAAAAATAAGCGGGAGTTTAAAGAACCTATATATTTTCTTTTTAAAATTCCGAATCAGAAAAAAATTAAATAGGCGTAGTCAGTGATAAAATTAACTTTTTTTGATAAACATTCACCGGTAAGAGATTATGTAAATAAATACATACTTTAAACAAATAAGTTACTTATTTTATCTGAAATCGGAAACCCCCCTACTGTAGATATTTTTTAAGAAATTTATTAGATTCAAAGGGTTAAAATTTATTATATAGTTTAAAATTCATTAGGTTTTAAGGGTCCATATTTTAATGAAACTATATATATTTATAAAAGATAGGCAAGATTTATGCGTACGTACGTACGTAATTTAAAATTATATATATTTATATATATTTATATTTTATTTATTTATATATATTTATATTTTATTTATTTATTCATTCATTTAAATTTTGTTTGCGATCTTCTCCCGTGATTAAATAACTGTAAAAAATATCTGATATTAAATTGCGGAATTTTTTAAGAACCACCCACATAATTAAATTTCTGACGTAGTTTGAAATATCAATAATTTGACCAGTGTAAATATATGTAATTGTAAAATTATTTAAGCACTTTGTCACAGTATATATATATTTTTCGATATTGCTTTATTAACGGTTCTAACGGTTTTGCGCGCAAATTTATAAAAAAAATTACTGGCATATAAAAAATAATTAAACTACAGAATTTAGTCATAATAACCAATTTGCGCGTATGTATGTAAATAAACCCATCATTTAAAGTTTTGTATTACATAAGATCAAGTTTAAGTTTGTTACCTGGTTTGTACATACGTATGTACTGTATGTACGTACAGTACGTATGTAAAAACAAATAAATATATGCTAGCAGCTAGTATATTTAGTATTGTTTTTATACAAGGTCTTTTATACAAGGATACATTTTAAATTTGACATTTAATTTTTCAAATGACAGGGATTTCCAGAGTGATCATGGATCTTTTTTAACGCGGGAATAAAATGGAACGAATATTAGTGATATAAAATCAAGTATTTTTTTTATTAAATCACAAGTCACTCAACTTTTTGAATATACAATTTCCCTTATCACAAAATATTTTTTTTTTTTAGTGAATTATCGTAATCACTTACTTTTTTTTTTTTTTAGAAAAAAAAATAAATAGGAATATCAATATATGAATTATTAGTAATTTATTTAGTAATTTAGCATGCAGATAAAAAGATTATAAAAAATTGGTTTAGCGTTTAATATCAAGTACCTTAAAACAGTTTCAAAATGAGAATATATATATATTATGATCTGATAAAAAAAAAAAAAAAAGATATTAATATTAATATTTTAAATTTTGGAAATACCAGATTACGAAATATGAATATAATATGAAACGAATTGAGTAATTTTTTTAATAAGCAAAATTAGACATTAATTCAAGCAAGATGATTCTTTTTTAAGAAGTTTTTTTTTTCATGGTAGTTTTTTTTTTTTTTTTTTGCGCCAAGTTCATGCTTATATAGTTTCTAAATAGATGATAAAAATAACTCAATTATGAGTTCTCTTGTTTTCCCTTATTTGATCTTCCCGAGTTATAAGACACTAAATGTGTTTAATGTTGTAATTTTAATTACTAGGAATCTGTTTAGGTAAATTTGGGAATCAAAGGTCTGTGATGTTTGATTATTTTTTTTGATGATTAAAAATTTAGGGTACTAACAATTTTTTGCAAATAAAGGACAAAATCGAAAAACAAAGACTTGAATAATTTGTAGGATTATTTAACGCTTCTTTCTTTCTTGCAGGTGTAACAAAAATATTTACATTAAAAAATTTTAACCAGTATAAAAGCTTCTAACAAACAACGATTTTATTAAAGCAGAAATGTTTGAATGAAAATTGAATGAACCACATGATAAAATGATCTTGTTTAGTTACCTTTGTTCTGGATAGTTGGTAAACTTATCTTTTTTCATTATAGTACATTTTATTGGAACATTTATTTAATGGTTACAAACATATACCACGTTGCTATGCGAAACGTCTTTGTTTAAAGTTTGAAGATCAAAGCCATGTTTTGATTCGTACTTCATGGAAACTTCTTTGTTCCATCAAAATCTTGAATTACTGTGTAAAATTAGCTAAATTAGCAAGTGGTACCAAAAAGTCTCAAGTTATAATTATTCTGATCTGCGCACGGTCACATTCGAGATTAAGCTGAATGCGTACTATTTATATGAAGAACCAATTGACTTTTAAAGAATACAAAGGAGGATGCATTTATTTTAAGTACTTACGTACGTATGTAAGTAAGTACAGTAAGTACAGTAAATAAGTACAGTAAGTAAGTACAGTAAGTAAGTAACAGTAAGTAAGTATAGTAAGTACGTAGAATCTACTTACCAGTTATTGTATATCTGATATGTATTATATGTATTATTGCCGTAGTAAATATGCCAGTGTATAGATATACATATATATGTATCAGAGATATATAGATATACGTATCAGAGATATATAGATATACGTATCAGAGATATATAGATATACGTATCAGAGATACGTACAGTACGTACGTACGTATATGCTACGTATCTGCTATGTTTGTATTGTACATTCAAAAGTATATATATACTTTTTTATTAAGTACTTTTTATGCCGTGTAATTTTTTATGCAGGGAGGAAAATCGTTGACAATTTTTAGAAGAATAAATTGAAAATTTGAAGGGTATCAAGATATTTAGGGTATTTAGTGTCACTAATAAATTTGAGTTTATTGGATAAAATAATTGTGTGGCGGAAAATTAGGAGGAGATGCATTTATGTTTCGGATAGTTCGGTTATAGATATGAACAATTTCCGAGTGAAAGTTTTATCATCCCTGAATATATAACTTATTTACCAGAAAAATAATAATGGGCGGAGATAATGACGCCGAGTGTAAAAAAAAAATTTTTACCCTGTCATACCATTTAGTATAATGTAATTTATAATGTATATAATATATAATGTAATATATAATGTAATTTATATTTATAATTTATAATGTAATAAAAATATTGTTACCCAGATTTATATACCGAATCTAGTTTTTTTCCGAATGATATCCAACGAACGACGCAGTATATTACCTCCCCAGGAATTCATTCATTTCCAAATTAATATCAATAATATTCTATTTTTGATTAAATTTTTATGATAATGATTCCATGAAAAAAAAAAAAAGAACGCCACAAAAAAAATCATACGTGGTAAATCCCTTGTCATCCAACATCGTGACCTTTTTCTTTTTTTTTTTAAATGGTTTAACGCGATATTTTAATCATTATATATATATATCCGTTATTGTCGATGTGATTAATCTACTTTGATACATCTTCTTTTAGTCAAATATAAAATGCGTAATGGACATCTTTCAATCGGATATAGTTTACAAACGCGTATAAGTACTATACATAATTCCGTATAAACTCTATACTAAAATTTTAATTACCTCTTAATTGCTCTTAATTACTCTTAATTGCTCTTAATTGCTCTTAATTACTCTTAATTATTCTTAATTACTCTTAATTACTCTTAATTAGAAGTTTAACAGTTGGCTGTATCGGATAAGAATAGTTTTGTAAAACAAAAATTGAAAATAAATGAAATACTAATTCAAGTTAAAATAAGTTAAATAAGCTAAAATCATGATAATAATAAATTATGTTAATAAATTATGTTAATTACTTTAATTATCACGAGAACAGTCCCCTTTTTCCGAAACAATATAAAAGGTAAGTACGACCAAAAAGCTTTTTCTCATAGTAAACACAGTAAACATAATAAACATAGTAAAGAAGGTTACTAAAACTTATAAAAAAAATCAAAAAAACTCGAGTCAGATCAGGGACCAGTCAGGGTATATATGCTCTAAACTTCGGAAGTTTCCGTTCTTGCATTATAATAAGCCGCGTGCATATAAATTATAGTAATACTTTTTTTATCAAAAGAATAAAGTAACTTTTCTTGTTTTATTAAACGGGATAA